CATGATCGCATCTTGTGTGCCTGCGGACCGCGACCGCGATGAACCGCCAGCCAACTTTGAAATGCCTATGCAATGGCTGGGAAGCCCCACTGGCGGCGTAGTCCTTGAGGTAAGTTCTTTAATGATGTGCACAGGTGGGCCTGACTAACGTTTTCATGCTAGTTCGCTTACAAGCCACTGGACACTCCATTGCTGCGCCAGATGCGTCGTATTCGGACTGAAACCGGGCGCCCTTGGGTATTAGTTGATGGACTTGACAATGTGGTCGAGCAAGCGATACCGCAGTTTGAGCTCATGACGGGACGAAAGGCACCCCGTCGCTTGATGTTTTCAGAAGCCCTTCACAACTACGTTGGCGAAGAAGGTCACTTCGATGACAAGACGATCCAAGCCAGGCTTGATCATGTTCGGTAACAGATTCGTGTGTTAGAGAGCATAGCTGCATTACATCGCATACAGAGGTATTGGTGCTCCATTTTGTGGCTGCGTGCAATCATGACCCTGAGCCGGTTCAGGGCCTTTTTTAGGGTGTCCTCGACGCAGCAGCAGCTGGGTCTGAAGGAATCCAAACCAGGGATATGTCTGGGGTATTCTACGTTGTAGAGAAACTGAGATGGGCACCATTATGCGAGGCAAGAGGTGGGTTCTGCAATGCGAGGCTACGACTAAGCTAAGATATAAGAGCCCGCTCATCCAGCGCATTACTGGAGTCCAATGGGCTGATATTACTGCATCTGGCTGTGGGATGTCACTGGTCACTGGGATAGCCCCTGGTCGCCAATGATCCACTTCTGTGCCCGGTCCGACGGATGCTAATGGCGTGACATCAGGTCTGATCCTAGCTGCTTATGCAAATGTTACTTCGGTAGTATATGCATGCATGGCCAGGCCGCCATAAACCACGGCCCAGAACTGAACGGTCAAATGGGGAGCTTGATGTTGTCAGCGGCGCTTAAGGCCGGGTGTCTTTGGTGTTTGGCCAGCGAGATTACGTCTGTATTTGCATTATGCGATCACAATTCAGCAGAGGGAGTTTCATATGCAAGAGCACGTTTTAATTAAGAGATAGCGTTGCGCTTGAATAATATAATCTAAGCGGACTTCCCAGCACATTGCACAAAAGCATGCAGTCATGGTAGAGAATTTCTAGATCATAAAGTACTCTTAAGTGGCTCCTCTCGGTTGGCTCTGCGCAACAACGTCTTTTAAGTCGAGGTAGTTTCCTTTGCAGTTCGTTGTAGTAGTAGCTTTCATTCAAAACAAAGAAGGAAATGCAGTCGAATAGTATTGACGTAATGATGTATATGTAATATAGTGCTAGATAGAACGGCAAAATATATGTATAAACAATACTACGACTACTATCACACCTCTCCATCCAGAATTGCTCCCCAGCAGGAGAACAACCGAGTCCTACATATTTCACGTCAATGCCTCGGTCACATTACCCACCAAGCCCATGCATCTTAACCTGTAAACCACCAACTTGAGCTGTAGCATAAACCATTATCTATAGCATCTATCAATACTAGTAATTCAACACATCACACATATCTACACAATCAGATTCTCCACCAAACCGGTCAATCCATCATCCATCCTACCAGCAACCCCTTCCTGAGCACAAGGAAAAAAATAAACGAATAAACACAGCCCCTGCAGAGCATCTACACCATCACTGCTCTACACGGTACATACATACAATACACAGGGGACACGTGTCCTACATGCATCACCAACATAACATAGCATTCCTCGGAGATATCCTCAGAGGCTGAGATATTTGCGGTGGCGCTTGGAATGTGTAATCTCCAGAGTACAGATGCCCGGGCGGAAAACAAGCACCCAGGAGGCGCTGAAGGTGGAGGTTAAATGGACGTGAGGAATGACGGGACGGAATATATTGAGTTTGGCTAGGCTTTGCTTTTTTATCTTTGTATGAATTTTGCGTCTTTGCTTCTTTTCAATTGCTTTTACTCTTGTGGCCTGAGATACTGCTTTCGCGGATTGCAAGTGCAATTCCTACGCTGCTTTGCTACGCTGTTTGCTATATGAATGAAGCAAATGTGTCTCTGTCTGTTGAATGAGGAAAAGAACGGACAGCATTATGTGGAACCGCTACATCGCAGCGCTACTTCTGCTCAGCAGCGGTAGCAATGTCCTTGCGAAGCAGCGCACGACAGACGAGTTTACCTTCAGCTGCGATCCATTGACGACTCAACTGTCCGACCCAATAGTCGCGCCGGGGAAGCCATCTACGCATACACATGTTGTTACTGGGGGGACAGCATTCCAGCGAACAATGAATGAGAGCACAGCGCAGAATGCAAAGGGGACGACGTGCGAAGTGGATATTGATAGGAGTAATTATTGGGTTCCGCAGCTTTATCATCGCATGAGGAATGGGTCGTTTGAGCTCGTGGAGTATCAGTCCAGTGTAGGTATTGCTTTGGACTTCGTTTGAGAGTCCTAAAAGCTTGATTGAGGGTGGAGAGGAACTGGCTAATGAGTTAGATAGAGTATCTATTACTTTGATCGAGCGTGTAATTATACGGCCGGTGCTACGGATTGTGATGAGAAGCTGGTTCCGCTGGCGCCGCCGAAAGGTCTGCGCATGCTTGCTGGGGATCCGAGTCTTCGGTTTGTTCGCCTATTCTCTATTCCGATGTCTGACAGTGCTGATATCAGAATGGGAACAGGACCTATAATGATTCGAACTGGTCCCAGCGTGCCATCAGTCATATGTGCATTGGCAAAGATGGAAGCTCGAATGAGACAAAAGGCTTGCCTCAGCAGCCTTGTGAAATGTTGAGGTCGCAGGTTTTTATGCCCTCCTGCTGGGATGGAGAGAACCTGGACAGCTCAGATCATAAGAGTCATGTAGGTGTCGTTGTCTGCGAGCACTTGGGGGTTTTCTGACAGTACTTGTAGATGGCGTATCCCGACGCTGGAGACTATAACAAGGGTGTTTGTCCCAAGTCTCATCCCTTTGCGATATATTCCATCTTTCTGGAATTTTTTTTCAACACAGCACCCCATCCAGATTACAAGAACTGGATATATGCGACAGGTGATGAAACCGGATACGGCTTGCACGGAGATTTCATGTACGGTTGGACAGACCAGGTCGCCTTGCAGCAAGCTATAGACACCTGTACCGGTCCACAAGGATTGACCGACCCAGACTGCTCGATAACGAGGAACCAAACAAGAGACTTGGCCCCGATGCCGCAGCCATTGGATGTTCCTGCACCGAAAGACAACATCGGTCAACATGGCCCCGTTAATAGATTGCCCGGTCACCGTAACTGGGCGACTAAGCATAACAATTCGACATTGCATGGGTAAGCTAGGCCTGCATACGTCGACATCGAGTTCGTGTATATAGCTTTGATGAGATGACGTAGTATCGACATTAGATTGCACACATTTCCGCGACTGTAAACTGCCGATATTTGGGTGACCTGGAACGCGAGGGAAACAGCTGCTTGTGTTGAGGCTTCCAATTGTGGTGACTAGTATGCTGGTTTCAGACGCGTGAGTCCCGGCCTCAGATCCTGCAGAGTGCCGGGTTGAATGATATCCAAGGGGATAGGTAGCCATCATCAGGAGAGCCCAGTCCATGAGTTGCGTATGCACTTGCAGCGATCGCAAAATCAACCAACGTATCCCATCCCCTTTCTCCACCATTTCCAGACACCCCGTTGTTCCATTAAACTCCCAAACTCCTTGACGGTTTCTACCTCTGACACACCGGCCCTTATATCCCTCATTCTTGTCTGGTGGGATGACTGCTTCTGATCATGAAGGTCTGTCTGATTCTCGTCGTGGAGGGGTCCTGGTCGCGTGGCTAGTTGAAAATCCTTGTACCGAAGTTTTCGAACGACAGTCACCCAAGACTCAACAGCGGATTGGTCTTTCGCCTCGACATACATTATCCCTGGACAACCACCGGAGCGCAGAAGCACGAAGCAATTGTGTATATCGGCTGCGCGTTTCAGCGCAGACACCTTTTTGCGGGAGGTGATGTGGTGGGTTCGGATGAGGGCGTTGTAGAACATCGTTCTTTATCTGTGTAATCTGGGTTAAGCCATTGGGTTTTGCTGACTATCTGACATTTCTGTGAAGGACAGGTAACAGGGTTTTCTGCGGTGGAGGAGCTGGATGCCGCCCGCAAAGGAGTAGGGGAAGTATTTGCTCGGAAGATTGATGATGAAAAGAGTCGAAGTGTTCGGACTTCGTCGCCCGCATCAGGGCTTGGAAGCGCTATGGGTGACAGTTGTGCGACCTAGGCCGATTCAATTCTCTGTTGGCCTTGATGGTACACAGGAGGAGCTCTGAGAGTAACAAAAGTGGAACCGTACGACGTAGTCCACGGCAAGTTGTGGTCTCGGCTATTGCCAATTCATCAACCCAATCAATGATCGCGGCTGAGCCATCCTTGGTTGATCTGTGGAACTCCAGCATAAACTTCAACTTCATCTTCAAATTTTTGTGTATATAAATGCTTGTGCCTTGATCTAAGATGGTTAGTTAACCTCATATAATGCTGAGTCACAACCGAAAAAATTACTGTCCCCTTGACAGCTTCATCACTCCGAAATTCGTGCTAACGTATATTGCAAAAACATATATATACCATGATATATTTTTGGAGACAGTTGGGAAAGGCCACTACCGACCTCCTTGTATCACTTCGGACCACCCGATACCATGGAGTTCCCCTTTTCCCTGTCTCTTGAATGGTTTTTTTCCATTCATTGTATTCCACTTTCTCAGCCTTGGCTATCATTTGGACCGGCATCCAGCATGGGAGTTTTCGGATTTCACCTCACAAGTCCCTGAACCTATGGTAGATGCTGGATTATAAAAGGTGTCCAGCTAGCTTGTTCATTAATCTTCCATTCACTTTTACACCTCTATCTCGACATCGATCCTTCCCATACAACAGCATCTAGCGAAAGCATTTTCCTTCACATTTGATCGCTCTGATAGCCAGAATGAGTCTTTTAAACCTACCGCAGGAGATCTTGGTGCTCATAATATCTAAGTTGCATGAATCCGGCGACTATAACACCTTGTTAAAGCTTTGCCAAACTTCAAAGACTGTATGTGCCCTCGTCCAGCCCAAAATCTTCCGCCAATATCCGAAATGGTGTTTTATCGAGGACACATGGTGGATACCTGTGTTTAAACACCACATTGGTTCTCTTATCTGCTTCATACGAACTGTTATTGAACGGCCTGACTTGGGAGCCTGTGTACGCAGTTTGACCGTGGAGGCGTTCAACCAGAGGTCTTATTTACCGCAAGACTGGGAGAAAAAACTCCTGAAGGACTTATTTGAGATGTTTGCAAGAGCAGCTAACCAACTTCCAGCGAGCTGGAAGCAACAATATTTGACAGCTCCCGATGAAGTACATTCAAACTCATTACTCATGCTTCTTATAACGCTGACGCCTAAATTGGAAACATTACGTCTCAAAATCACTAATGAAGGCCTGGAAGGATTGGAAGGGTTGGAGCCGCTCTGGGAACGAGATTCTCAGAGCATGCGCAGCCATGGGTATCTCGCCAACTTGAAAGAACTTGATATTAAATGTGGTGAAATACTTCACAAATCGATGAGAGGTTTGTTTCATCTCATGCATCTGCCCAACTTGAACGAGCTCACGTTGTGTGACGCTGATGAGGATGGCCCTGGCTGTCCACCTCTTGAACTTCTTCTACCCAAGTCTCTTAGTATTACGACACTGAAATTGGTAGGAGTTAAGTTTCATCAAGCAACATTGCGCCAAATGGTTCATGCATGCAGGAGTCTGAAGGTATTCTGGTATTATCCGGCCTGGAACTCTGAAGATGCTTCTCATCCCAAAAGATCCGATCTAGTATCAATCCTGAAGCCTCATCAAAACAGCCTCCAGGAAATTGACGCCGAATTGGACGCTGTGAGGCTCCATGACTTTAGTGAATATGGCTCATTTACAGCCTTCACAAGCCTCACACATCTTGGCCTGGAGCAGATTGGGCTGAAAGATGCCGCAGACCTTCCAGGCTCTCTAGAACACCTGGAACTTCTGATGTGTGCTCAACCTGTATTTGAGTTTCTCACCAGCCTGATATCAAAGAGCAAGATCGGCCAATTGGCTTTAAAATCCCTCACAATATACCAATATGGGGACACCCACTCAAGGGAATGCAATTGGATCCTCGGGATCAAACCTTTTCCTGAATTATGGGAAACTGAGGAGGGCAGACTGGAAATGATGAAGGCGTGTCGACGCTTGGACGATCTCATCGAAACGGCGGACTTTTCAGTCGAAATTCTCTGCTGTCCGGCCTGGAAGACGTACCTCGATTTAGAAGGAAAAGCTTAGGACGGGTTCGCATTATCCCCATTTTCGGAAGGAGTACAAGTATGTGCGTGTTTGAGAGGGAATTCTAGAACAACCATCTTATTTCGGTGATTCGTTGTCATTCATTCATCTAGCTTTATATACGATTTCTCAAGAGTCTGATGACACTCTGTTCATGTAAGTTTGGCTTCCAGCATGCTTCGCTTGTATCATTGCTGAGAGAGAGGATATCCTGTAACAATAAAACTGTAGCAGTAATGATACAAAAGTGCTGAATTTTGTATAACATTTGATATTACTTTAGGGATCTGTAGTCTGGCAGTTAGTTATTATAATGCCCAGTCCAAATATATCACTATATAATGCCCATGAATGTTGGATCACTATTTCCAGCTAAACACACACTATGGCATACAACTTCTAGCTAACAACCAAAACCCTAACAGGATCCAATCCAAATCTTGTAACCTAGAGAAGCAATTGTATAAGATGGTATCATATCGCTATGCCAAAACAAAAAACAAATCAAGGAACGTTCACCAACCCCACATAACATCACACCCTTCCCCCCTTGTAGTGAAGAAACAGTCTATATATAACAACCACCACCAATAAAGAACCAAACCTAAACCCCAAGCACCACCCCCCAGAAACTAACCGGCATCGGAATGGATTCAATCGCCTCCGGCAGTCTACTATAATTCAAAAACCATGGACTAGTATAATAGCCCCACGCGGCCACGAACGCCGCATCCACGAGCCAAATAACGACTCGAGAGATGTTATTCTTCGCGGGAAGGACACGCGGCAGAATCTGATCGGAAATGATCTGCTGCACGACCACACATGCTGGCAGAACGCAGAAGAAGAACATCATCATGGACGCGGCGAACCAGTCCTTCGAGACGGCGTAGGTGCCTGCTGCGTGAACGACGCCTGATACCATGAAGGAGAGGCAGACGACGAGAAGGCGTTTGAGGCCTAGGGGCCATGAGTCCGGGATGAGGGAGAGGGAGAGGGCCAGGAACGGGCGACGACAGAGGTCGTGCCACATTTTGCCCCAGATGTCTGGATTGTTACTTTGTTAGTCTTGCTGTGCGTGGAGGGACTGGGTGTCTGACTTACCTCGTAGGCTAAAGGTGAACATGTATCGGATTGTTCCAAAGACAGGCGGATACATCCATGGTTCCGCTGCGAGCTGTGGAGAGATGATCCGAAGCACACCGACGGAAATTACGCCGGTGGCGGCGTGGATTCCGTCTACGAAGGCGTAAGAGGCCATCCAGTGTACTGGTGGGAGGATGAACAACCGAATCACGCCCTCAGTCGTGGCCGGGGATGCTTGGATGTCCAGCACATTGGTCAGGAATGTCTCTACGAAGTTGCTGACGCTGGAGTAGTTCCGTCCAATGGCTGACTGATACGAGTCGATGATAAAGTAGGCTACCAGAGCCCGAACGATCTTGCCTCTCAAGAACGAGAAGCGGTCGTCATCTGCTACCAGGACGATGTCCTCGCGTTTAGGAACGCACCCATTTGCGCCGTCCGGGACAGCTTCGAGCTTCCGAACGGGAGGCTGGTACTTGGGAGAGCCGTAGCTCCAACCCACAGCGCGCGGGTTGATGATTAGATCGCAGATCTGAGCAAAACGCTTCCACCCTAGCGTGGGAGATATGGGTTCCCATGTATATACGGGTGAAGAGGATAGGTAAGACACTCTTTGCAGGCGCTTCAAGTGACTCAGATCATGGACCATGAGGAGTTCCACAGCGCGGATGACAAAGGAGGTGGAGAGAAATGCATTGGTATATCTTATAAAGTCCCTGGTGTCGGGCGGGTAGAAAATAGCGCAGCAGGCGCTGAGGACGATGATGCCATAGAGGGTGTCTCTCAGACCCGGAAGCAAGGGGAACTTGACATGTAGAAATAAAGCCGCAATCAAGGCCGGCAGGGTGTACATGTTGTGGAAGAGGTGAGTTTCAAGCCGGAAACTCCAGGAGATAACATCTGCATGCGGAAAAAGACAAGGAAAATAAAGCAACGCGATCTAAGCTGAGGTGAAGAAGAGTTGAAGGTATTCAAATAACATGGTTGGAGTGGCGGCGATTGGGTGTCTTTTGGCGCGGCTGATCATCCGCGCGGGCCCGCATTAATCAGCGGTATCGGAATCTGATATCCACTCCGGTTTCCCACTTTCGGGGATATCGGACAACTTGTTGGACTGTGTGCCAGATCATCGTGATGGGGAGAGTGATGAACTGTGCCTCGGAAATGATGGGACTCTCATAATGTTGCGCACGAGGCAGTTATACCCCTCTCCAACGAAGTCGGCTTTCGAATCCGCCTGTTCCCGGCGGGCGACAACTGGCGAGAAACTCCGTGGAATAGCGCGAATGCCAGGGCTGACTGTTCTGAATGACCATTTTCAAGCTGCAGTGCGCAGACGACATGGTACTGTCTCGCCGTCTTGCATTTTTTGCTCATTTTGCACTATTTAAATCTTCGTAGCCCTATGATAACCTCCATTTACGGCCTCGATCCTATTATTAAGCTGCACCTGCCACCTGACTGGACGACTCATCTCGTTGTTAGCATAGCCCACTTAGAGCAAGCGCACAATGATGAGTATAGTAGATTTTAACCAGATATTGCTTACGCGCCGCCAGTAATGGTAGACGTCCAGGAAGAACACGAGGTAGACCGTATACATCTAATCAAATCAGACGAAGTGTTGATCCGCTGGAAGAATGGAGAGGTAACATGGGAACAACCTGACAATGTCAAAGGCGATATAACAGAAATGCTGAAAGCATATCAGAAAGGTTAGAGACAGAACGTTTTACACCGATCAGCTGCGTTCTGACCCACAGAGTGGAACACGAAGTGAGAGCAGGCCAGGCGTAAAAATGCGAACAATGCCCCAATGGAACGCGCATCTATCAGACGCTCGGGTTTGCACTATCGTGCACGACATGGTGGCTGCTACCACTCGTGGACAGAGATGGGCAGCTGATCTCATTCGCAAAGGGGATATTAGGCTCGATAGAGTACCTCGCGGACTCACAATGTGGCTAGAATATAGCGGTGCTCGTTGGTACCAGTTTGCTTCAAAATGCTATTTGATGCTAGCTCGGACGAGGTTGATGAGAAGCAAATGGGAGAACAAGCAGGGGGTAGGTAGAAGGGGGCACCATCAGTACTAGGATTACCCATGCCCTCCTCGTCACCATCTGCTTCTCTCATGGGCGACTAAGACACTTACTCTGGTATGCTACTATGTACTGATAGGATTCCATACTCACACTGGGCCCTATTATGATTCTAGGAGAAGCCAGACCTGTTTAGGGGTTTGAATTCAACTACTGTTCCTTCAGTGGTATTTAATATTCGATATAGCAAATGGTAGTCCTGCTTAGGAGCCAATAGAGACATGCGAATGTATGGAACAGGTTAAGTGAATATGGTACTATGAATGAAGTGGTCAGGAACCTGTCAGTGATAAGTGGAAGGGAGCTTGGAAGTGGACAAGATGTCCTATAGGTGGGCTCAGACTATCACGTAAGAAACATGCTACGTTGAGACCGGATCACCAAGCTAACATCATGAGGCTAGTCTAGCCCCGCTCTTGGGAGGGAATACTTTCACATGGAAGCTGATCAAAACCCAAACGCTGGGCTCCCACTATACATGGCGTACTTACGTGGTCTTGCCCCGGAATTGATGACTTTGATAGGAGCTGACACCAACATGAGTCTGATGCGTTGTAAACTTGTGAGTCTTTCAGGCTCAGAATTCTTTCAAATACTAGAGGAGATTATTGTTTATGCTCGGGGTTAGCTAGGCCCGAAGGCCGAGATGCAACAGACTGTTTTGCCTTAGCAGCTTATTGTTCACGGTATCTATCGACGGTTTGTAACTATGAGGTCATAGTTATGTCCCTGCGATAGAAGTAAAACCATGCCAGTCAGTGCCTGAAATTTAGTTATTTCTCTTGTTTTGAGTTTCACTGATCTATTATTCATCGGTGGGAAAAGAGCGTAAGATACAAGCACTTGTGCAATGTTCAGCCTTATGGGAAATGGAGCTAGACCAAATTCAGCTAAAGTCGGCATCAGATGTTGTCACGCTTGCCGTTCCCTCCACTAATCTTTCAGAAGAGACGCCCTTCTATATACTAGATACAGTATAAATAGAACCTAGCTTGTTTCAATCCATATATAAAGACACTGCCCGGAATGACTACTCAACCAGAAAAGTTCCCCTTAGTTCACTGCCTTTTCATGTTGTGGATCACTGACAAACTTGCTTACGTCAGGGAAGCTAGCCCAAAAACGTAACTCCGAGTACTCGGACATCCACATCAAGCAAGTCCGATGCGTAATCCCGGATGACTCCTGAAAGAGGCCGACTAAACCATCGACTAACTAGATACTACTAAGAATCAAAAGTACCCCCAGGCTGCCACTAACCACTCAAGCCCATCAAGTGCCACACTCCCTGAATGACCACGTCTTTCTCCTGAACCAAATTAGGCAGCGAAGCCCGTGGGGCTCGGCCGTAAGCTTACAGATCAGATAAGACTTTAATGTTGCCGGTCGCTGCCCTCCGCTTCATCTTCAACTTCACGACACTCCACCACCGATAGAACTGCATCAGGTGACTTGGCACGGTCGGTCCAACCCAGCACCATCAGTCACATCATCGCCGCCAAACAAGAACATCGCTCTATCCAACAAGGCCATGGATGAAGACCACTCCCCAAAGTCTCCGCCGCGACGGCGCAGACCACCCCTATCTTGTACCATTTGCAGGCGTCGCAAGTTAAAATGCGACCGCTCTCTGCCATGTGGGCAATGCGCGAAGTCCAAAACGCCAGATCAATGCATCTACGTTGGCCCTCAGGCGCCGGGGTCGGGGAGCGCTTCCCGCACCCCGCCAGAACGCGTGCGTATCTCCAGCAGTCGAGCCAGTCCGGCGCACGGGGGCGTCTACGTCTTTGATTCCAAGCACCAGTCCACCAACAGGGTCACCAAGCCGAAAGTGCGGTCAGACGAGTTGCACGAATTGCGCAGTCGCATCCAGTTCCTGGAAAGCGCTCTCTCCAAAACTGGGTCGATGCACACCCCAGAAAGTCTGGGTGGTGACTCGGTAGACATCGGGCATCGTTCGGGTCCGGAGTCGCAGAACCTCATTGACAATGTGAAAGATCTTCCCGATCGGTGTTGTTTTCGGGGGAAGAAAATCCGCACGCGATTCGTTGGGCGGAGCCATGCGTCCGTCTCTTTGTCTTTTGTAAGTGTGTGTTGTGCCATGGCTGATTCGTGGATGGTGCTAATTTCCGCAGTTTGATGATGTTGGCAAATTCATGCGGGGCCGCCGCAGTACGATGAAGAGAATCCCCAATTACAAGAAATTCAAGAACTTCAAAGGGGAGATATGGGCTCGAGAGCGACAGGAGCACCAGCGTGCCTATCAGCAAAAGTCTCCCTCGCTTGAGGAGATGGTTCCGCCTCGACAAGTTGCTGACGAACTACTCAATTTGTATCTGACCACATTTGAGACGACACACCGTATTTTGCATATCCCAACCTTCCTGGAGCAGTACGAAAACCTCTGGTCGGGAGTGCAGCCGAAAGAACCGTCTTTTGTGGCGAAGCTTCTGGCATTGATGGCAGCCAGTTGCTGTTTTCTGAGCCCGAACACTAAGATCAATGGCGAGAGCAGGGTGTATCAGGCAGCCGCTGAATGGATTGCCGGTGTTCGGTCGTGGATTGCGTTCACGATGGTCAGCTCGACCATCGATTTCAACATTCTTCAGATCGAGTGTCTTTTGATGATTGCACGGCAGGCCGATGCTATTGACGGGGACATTGTGTGGATCTCCTCGGGCTCGCTCATACGGACTGCCATGACCATGGGACTGCATCGGGATCCTCATCGATTTGGTAAGATGACAAAATTCTGGGCCGAGATGCGTCGGCGGCTGTGGGCAACCATTTTGGAGCTTGACTTGCAGTCGTCCTTGGATGGCGGTATGCCGCCTACGATCGACCTGGACGAATACGATTGCGAGGCGCCCTCTAATCTGGACGATTCTCAGCTGACGGAAAATATGGTCGATGACCCTGTTCCCAAAGATATAGGGGTATACACACAAAGCACCTTTCAGGTTTTGCTTCTGCAGTCACTGCCCCTGCGAATCCGCATCGCCAAAGCCATTAACAGTCTGAAACTTACGATATCATATGATGAGGCCTTGCGGCTGAGCGAAGAGCTGATCCAACTCATGCACTTTGGCTTGGAGATCTTCCAGAAGGCCGGACCGGGCCCGTCATTCGCGCAGTCAATGTTGGCATTTCTGTTGCGGCGGTCGATTTTGGTTCTGAATCGGCCTTTTGCGCTGAGTATTATCCGGTCGCCCAAATTCTCTTACTCGCGGAAGATCTGCCTTGAGTCCGCATTGGACATCCTCTCTCACCACGATCCCCCGGCGAGCTCACAGGTGAACCCGCATCTGGGGCAACTGAGCGGAGGAATGTTTCGCGACGAATTCTTGCACGCTGCTCTGACAGTATGCGTTGAACTGTACCTGCAGGCAGGCGAGTTCAACACACAGAACACATCGACAATGCAGTCCAGCGCGCTGACATCATTGAACGATCTGGTACGGTCGCAGCAGGAGGTCATGATTGGGGCAGTCGAGCGAACGATTGAAACATTTGGAAGCCGAATCACGCCAAACGGCAAGGGAGGGAAGGCTTTCTTTTTTCCGACGCTCGCTTTGTCATCGGTGAAGGCGCGACTGCGAGGGGAAGATCCGCAGAAGGCATTAGAGCAGGATGCTATGCAATGTATGCAGATGAGCGAGCAGATGTTGCAGGGGGCAAGCTGGGAGACGGTCCGAGCCAAGGCTACGTCGACAGTAAGTGTACAGTTCGTGTTTTTATTGATATATGCTAACAGATGTAGCCGGTTTCTACACCATCGTTGAATCTCGAGACGCCGGAAATGCAATTCGACCCTGCGTCGTATGGGTTAGATACGGTAAGTTCTCTTGTTTGACCATATGATGTGGATTAATGCTAATGGACGCAGTCTGAATTCGGGACACTATTTGACCTCAACGACTTTGCGATCCCCGATATGTGGGATCAGGACTTTCTGGCGCTATTGTAGATAAGGGTTGGTAGTACCGAGGCGTTGGGACAGCGATTTATTGTGATCAAGGATAAAAGTTTCATGTGAAGCCGACAGGCTATGATGTACGATATGACTGCCGATCATTCCATAGATATAGCTAGTATATAATCTCTCCCATCTCAACAGCACGAACATCTCCTAACTAAGCACCACAACCATGTCGTAAGTCACCCCGTCACTTTACACTACAGTACATCCTACTAAATGACCAATATTAGTTCCCTCCTCACAATCCTCGGCCTCACAGCCCCAGAAGGCCTCGACCTCCCCAACCGCGCTATCCCCTACCTCCTCTTCAACTGGTTCTACGCCTACGGCATTCTCAGCACCCGGCCTGCGAAACGTCTCCTCCGTATCGACCATAACGTCGCGCCCAGAGATGACCTGAAAGTCTACGGCGAGGCAGCCGTGCAAGCGGGAAAAATCACCCGCAGACAGTTGGATCGACTCAAGCGGCAGGAGGCAGCGCATGCCAATGCCGTCGAAGGATTCCCGTTATTTGTGGCGGCTGGTGCGTGACCATACCTTATATCCCAACTGCCAATGTTCCTCCTTGGCATCATAGATAAACCGCTAATCATGTATCTGGGAGATATAGTGGTAGTAGCACTGCACACAGGCCTCCCCAACGACGTGATCAACGGTATCGGGGCATGGTACACGATATCCAGGATTCTGTTTGGGCTTGCATATGTGTTTATTGAATCGGAGACGTTGAGCTTTTCGCGGTCGGTGTTGTGGTGGTCTGGGAATATCAGTTGTATTACTGCTTTGGTGTTGGGAGGGAGGAAGTTGAATTGATTTAGTTGTCTGGATGGTGAGGGTTTTCTGATTTTGGGATGGGAATAATAAATGGATGATGGGGGTGGATGTGTGTGGGGATAAGTCGGAGATTGGGATCGCCTGTTGGGAATGATCTGCGGGGGTTTAGTGGGGAAGATAGATGTTTGGACCGAGGTAGACTTGTTTTTTGGGGCAGCTGATTTATGAGTTTTATTGGAATTTGTAGTATACTTTTAGATTTGAAATGGGTATGCATAAGGCTGGGAGTTGTGTTATGGTTGCTTATTAACGTTGTTTAATTATTTCATTAGTTATGTTAATGTGTATAGTTCTAACTGTGGATAGTTGTATAGAAGCGATGTGCATCAAATCTGAGCTCTTTGACAGGCAGGTACATACTACAGGGGTTACTATGATGAAATAAAGATATTAGTGAGAATCTAAAACCAGTTATTCCTGCAATAATATATGGATTACAGTTGTGCTGTCAGAACAGTTGAGTCATGCTATGCTGCAATACAGCAATCCTCTACGCGAATACCTACACCACGGAGGATGTCATCCCACCAGCAAACCCACAACAGCAACATTCCCAGTTCACTCTACATATACTAGTACACCATGATCAGTTAATATCCTTACAACTCGCTTGTTTCTCCACAACATTCAACACATCACCCCATTACTCATTCATACCCGAATCACCGTGAGTCACCCTCGATTGGTGGGAAATTCCACCAGCTGCCTCACAGACAATCCGGGGAAATTGTGCCAGCTCAGGCCGGCCCCGTGCACCAGCCAAGATCACGATGACAGGTGGAAATTGTTCTCCCCGGTTTCCCCGTGGGGTTTACCCCAATTCTTCCCCAGATTATTGAGATTGCTATGATGTTATCGATCGTATGTATCTGGGGTACATACAGATAGACCTACCTAGAAAATTTATATATTAGACAATCAATGTCTGTTTACTTTCACTGAGACTGAAGTAAAAGCAAACGGCAGAAAAGATTAAGCCTGCAAAATGCATCTTCTCCCCTTAACCCTCTTCCTCACCGTCGCTTTCGGCGTCTCCGTCCCCAGATCTCCCCTCATCCCCGGCGCACAAATCATCCCTGCGTCCAACACAGCACATCTACACGCCATTGGAGCTCAATATCCCAAGTATCCAGACCGCGAGACAGTTACTATTCGGCCCTCGAGGAACGAACTGGACGATGTGTCCAGTGACTTCCTCTGGGGCTTGAAGCAGGCGAATCATGGTGGTCGGTTATTGTTGAAGCGGGGGGAGACCTACGTGATTGGGAAGAAGTTGGACTTGACCTTCTTGGATAATATTGAGGTGCAGCTTGAGGGGGAGATTCAGGTACATTCCTTCCATTTCTTCAGTGAGAAATCATGATATGGGATACTAACTCTAGTGGTATGTAGTTTACAAACAACATCACCTACTGGCAAGCCAACAACTTCTACTACGACTTCCAGAAGTCCATCACCTTCTGGCGCTGGGGTGGTCAGGATATCAAGATCTTCGGGAGTGGTGTGCTGAACGGCAATGGGCAGAAATGGTATGATGAGTTTGCAGGAAAGGAGATCTTGGTATGTCACATCCATATACCTCCCTGCAAGGAAAAAATATGCTGATGATGGCAATAACGATAGGACTCGGACAACACATTCTACCGCCCCATCCTCTTCCTCACTGATAACGCAACCCGCGTCTCGGTCGAGGGCATCACGCAGCTGAACTCGCCGTGCTGGACGAACTTTTTCGTTCGCACTAATGATGTCTCCTTTGATAATGTGTACATTCATGCGTTTTCGACTAATGCTTCGGTCAGTTCCATCTTCTCTGGCGTCTAGTTTGATTCCAATGGTATCAATGCTAACTGATGACAGTCCGACCCCGCCAACACCGACGGTATGGACTCTCTTGAGGTCGACGGCGTCAGTTTCACCAATATGCGCATTGATGTCGGAGATGACTGCTTCTCGCCAAAGCCGAACACGACCAACATTTTCGTTCAGAACATGTGGTGCAACAACACGCACGGCGTGAGTATGGGTAGTATTGGCCAGTACGCGGGCGAGATGGATATCATTGAGAACGTGTACATTGAGAATGTGACGTTGCTGAATGGACAGGTACGTCGCTCGTCACCCACTGCCCCATATTACAAGACTGATGTGAAATAGAACGGCGCCCGTCTCAAGGCCTGGGCCGGCCAAGACGTCGGCTACGGCCGCATCAACAACGTCACCTACAAGAACATCCAGATCCAGAACACGGATGCGCCGATCGTGTTGGACCAGTGCTACTTTGATATCAACGCTACAGAGTGTGCGGAGTACCCGTCTGCGGTGAACATTACCAACATCTTGTTTGAGAATATTTGGGGTTCATCCTCGGGTAAAGATGGCAAGATTGTGGCCGATCTGGTGTGTTCGCCAGATGCGGTGTGCACGAATATTACCCTGTCAAATGTCAATATAACGAGCCCCAAGGGAACTGCGGAGATTGTGTGTGATGATATCCAGGGTGGAATTGGGGTGGATTGTGTGAGTGATGATAGTGTTACGCGGTAGATACTGGGGTGGTCCCTTCGGGTCTGCCGTGATGATTATGTCACTTATGGTAGTAAAACAAACAAATAGAACTATGTTTATTTACTGATTACATTCCTCTTATTAGTAAAGCACGCAATGTGGTACGACACTGAGTACCTTGGTAAACCAAAATATCTACTAGTACTACCTTGTAGACAAGAGGACCTTGGGTGCAAACCAATCACAACGTCGATGAAACTAACCAACCCTAAGTAGTATACATTAGTATATACACCTTGGTGGTGACAACTATATAACATAGATGAAGTAGAAAAGATTACTCTAATCCTCCATTTGATTCTGATTCTTCTCATTTTTCAAAAATTAACAAAGAATTCAAGAAAATGATCGACTCCGGCAAAGAATCCCTTCACCCAACAATCCCCAACAATGCATTGGAGAGCCCAGCTCCTACATCCAAGAGGAGAAAGCTGCCTGTTACTCTCCTTTCTGGATTCTTAGTACTTCTCCCCACCCTCCCTTTATTCCTCAAATATACAGAAATCTAATATAATGGCTCATAACTAGGGAAGCGGCAAAACCACCCTCCTCGAACACATCCTCCTCTCGCCTGACCATGGCCTCCGCATTGCAGTTATAGTCAATGACATGAGCAGGTACATTACCCATCCTCTATATACCCCGTACCATCTAACAAAAGGAATAGTCTTAACATCGACGCAACCCTAATTAAACACCACCACACCGTCTCGCACACAAAAGAATCCCTCATCCAGCTGCAGAACGGCTGTATATGCTGCACTCTCCGCGGGGATTTACTCGCCGAGCTAGCGCGACTCGCATCCCAAGATGGCGTCGAGTACGTCGTTATCGAAAGCACGGGGATCAGTGAGCCGATGCAGGTGGCTGAGACGTTCACGGCGGAGTTTGGGGCCGCAATGTTGGAGGCGGATGGGGATGGGAGTGGAGCTGAGCAGCAGGTGTTGAGTGTGGAGGAGAGGAAGGTTATTGAGGATATGTATATCTCTCCCCTTTCCCCCATGTTTTCATTACATGAGTGACGCGTGCTGATGGATTGGTATGTATAGTGTCAAACAAGGCGGCCTACACACCCTCACCACCCTGGACACAACCGTAACCGTCATCGACGCATTCAATCTCTACTCGAACCTCGATACCGCGGAGTTCCTCTCTGATAGATATACCTCCGGGGAAGTCATCCCGGAAGATGAGAGAACCATCTCCGATCTAATGGTCGATCAGATTGAGTTTGCGGATGTGATTATCATCAATAAGATTGATCTTGTTGATAAGGTTGCCAAGGACAAAATCCACACGTTGATTAAATTGCTCAATCCCGCTGCGAAGGTCTTGGAGGCAAAGTACTCCAAGATTGATGTGCGGGAGATTCTGGACACGGGGAGGTTTGATTTCGTTAAGGCGGCGAGTGGTGCCGGTTGGTTGAGGAGTCTGCATGAGATGAGTCGGCTGAGTACGGGGAATGGGGAGAGAGTGGCGCCGAAGCCGGAGACGCTTGAGTATGTATTCCCTTCTTTTTTTTTCCTTTGATCGTTTTGTGTGAAGGGTCAATGGTGCAAAGCTAATAACTTGAGCAGGTACGGTATCAATAACTTTGTGTATACGGCTAGAAGGCCGTTTCATCCGCGCAGGCTGTTCAAGTTGCTGCATGATAAGTTTATTATTTTGCAGAATGCGGCTGGGGAGGATGATGATGAAGATGATGAAGATGATGAGGAGGAGGATGACGATAATGATGAAGAGATGAAAGATGACGATGAAGACAACACCGAGGACGAAGAAGAAGAAGACGACGATGATGAAGAAGACATCACCTCCATCCCACCCGAAACCATCCTGTCTAACAAACGCTCCGACCCCATCCTCGCCCCCATCCTCCGCTCCAAAGGCTTCTTCTGGCTCGCCACCCGCCCATACCAATTCGGCGAATGGAGTCAAGCCGGCGCCATGCTCACATTAGGCTGTGGTGGCGGGTGGTTCGCCGAACTACCTGACGAAGCATGGCCGGAGGATGCGGACGTGCGCAAGTCCATTGAAGATGACTTCAAGGGCGAATGGGGCGATCGGCGTCAGGAGATTGTGTTCATTGGGGAGGGTATTGATACGACGGCGATTAAAAAGCTGCTTGATGAGTGTCTATTAGATAAGAAGGAGATGAAGAAGTGGGAGAAGGTGATGCGGACGAAGGGTGTTAAGAGGGCAGAGAAGCAGGAGATCATGGCGGGGATTTGGGAGGATGGATGGGAGGATTGGCCTAATTTGGAGGATGATGATATCAAAGATGAGGAGGAGGTGAAGGGGGAGAATAGTGGGAAGAGGAAGGCGAGTGAGCTGTTGAATGGGCATGGACATGGCCATGCTCATGGGCACTCTCATGCACATGGACCGGGACATAAGAGTCGACCAGTGGT